AAAAAAAAAAAACCTAGCACCAACGGACAACTAACATAGAAACACCATACAACTAACATTGCAACATGATAAGACTAACCTAACAGAGATTTATAACTAACCTAGCACCAAAGATAGCTAACATAGCAACACCATACAACTAACATTGCAACATGATAAAACTAACTTAGCAGATATATATAAAACTAACCTAGCACCAACATAAAGTTAACATAGCAACACCATACAACTAATATTGCAACATGATAAAACTAACCCAGCAGAGATATATAACTAACCTAGCACCAACATGAAGCTAACATATCAACACCATACAACTAACATTGCAACATGATAAAACTAACCTAGCAGAGATATATAACTAACCTAGCACCGACAGACAGATAACATAACAACACCATACAACTAACATTGCAACATGATAAAACTAATCTAGCAGAGATATATAACTAACCTAGCACCAACAGACAGCTAACATAGCAACACCATACAACTAACATTGCAACATGATAAAACTAACATAGCAGAGATATATAGCTAACCTAGCACCAACATAAAGCTAACATAGCACAATTATACAACTAACCTAGCACCATCAAAAAACTAACCTAGCAACTACTAACCTAGCACAATCAGACAACTAACCTAGCACAATCAGACAACTAACCTACCACCATCAGACAATTAACCTAGCATGCTAGGTTATTTATATTTAACTGCAAGTTTAGTTGTCAACGGTCAACGCCGGAAGTCAACAGTCAACGCCGGAAGTCAACGATCAACGCCAGAAGTCAACGCCGGAGTCAACGGTCAACGCCGGAAGTCAACGGTCAACACCGGAGTCAACGGGTCAAAATAATATATAAATAATTAAAATAATAATAAAAAAAGAGTAAATCATTGCCACACATATCATGTACCAATCTTGTGGCTAAGAATGAGTCTCACGTCCGCATTTTAAAAAACTGTCCGCATTTGAACCATTCCCTATATATATATATATATATATATATGCGTGAAACATATCAAATTATTTGGTGTGTGTGTGTATAAAGGTTTGTTTTTACTTATGTCACATTATAGTCAAATCAATTTTCTGAATAAAAAATTTAAAATAACATCTATTTTTGAAATGAATATAATGTAACTTATTATTAGTTACTTGTACCGTACGAGTCGTATACTAATTTTAAATAGACATGCTTTATGTAATTTTGCACAATTTAAATTTCATATAATATTTTTAACAAATCAATATAGATAAATTGTATTACATATTGATTCCATATTTTTAATTTATAAATATTATTTAATAGCATTCGTAATTTAAAAATATTAATAAATATTTCTTACCATAGAATACGGGTTGCTTCCAATTTCCAAAAGGCCCAAACAGTTTTAGCCGATTCAGAGTCGAAAGGTGTTCATACTTCAAATTATCATAGCTCCTTCACATACACTGCCTCCTGCGAGTGTTTAGGGTTTCAGTTATGGAACATCATCAAGGGATAGACGAATATGGTGAGCAGGAGGGTGAAGAAATTCCCGACGAATTTCAGTGTTGCGTGTGCCTGTAAGTGCTTTGTTGGAGGAATGACATTAATCTCCCGTAGCATTTAGTATTTTTATTTTTGTAAATTCTACACAACCCTGTATGATATCGCGGTGAAGAAGAAGAAAGAAGAAAGAATTGAACTTGTAGGTTTACCTAGTCGGTTTCTTTACCAAATTTATGATATTTTAGTTTATCTTTTTGGTGAAAAATGCTAATTGAATTTACCTAATATTAGTTTCTTGCAGTTTTGTTTTCAACGGAAATAGAGTACTTCCTTTTTATATTGATTTGATGTTAGTTTAAGTTTTTCCATATATGATGTTTTGTGAGTATTTTTGTGTTGGCAATGAGTAGCCCTTTTGAAAACTTTATTGTCTTCATTTTGCAGTGATATCCTGTACAAACCGGTGGTCCTAGGTACGAGGGAGGGGATTGGACGATAACTTGTATGCTTATTTTAGAAAATAAACACTATGTGAAAGATGACAGATAGTTTTATTCCAATTATTGTTCTGTGTTGAACTAGTAATATCTTTGCCATCTTTACTCTGTCTTCCCTTGTTTGCAGCATGTGGTCACATTTCTTGCTTTTGGTGTGTATTCAAAGCCATGGACACTTTCCAAGAGTCACACTGTCCTGTGTGCCGAAACCCATTTAATCATTTCCCCAGAATCTGCAAGCTATTGCACATCTTGCTTCTGAAATTATACCCATCCGCCTACAACAGAAGGGAGAGACAAGTGGCAGGTGCGATTCTGATAAATACAACCTTCTTGGTGTTAAATATAATTACATTTGACTTCACAAGAATGCCACTATGCTTTCATTCTTTTAACCTGTACCCACTTGATTCTACTGTAATACGTACATTAGCTTGCAAACTTTTGATTAGCTCCACCATGCTTAAGCTCTAGTTTATGCTTTCAAATTAGAGAAGTTTGGCAATATGGAATATCTCTTAAGTAATATATGATTTAGGTGAAGCTAAGTACTGTAAGGTTTAAACAGTGTTATTAATGGCGGATGGCGTGGCGGAAAATGGCGGAAGGCACGACGGACTCAAAAATATAGTATTATATATATATTTATACCCTCTAATATATATACACACACGTGTATAACACCATAATTAAGCTTAAATCATGTCAATGTATACATAAATTCTCAATTAATACATAAAAATAACATTAGGTACATAAGAAAGAACAGGAAATTAAAGCATAACAAATAAATAAAGAGTTTAAATATAAATGACGGCTAGAAATAATTTTTAATAGAAGAAAGAGCTGAAAAATTACAACAAATAAGTAAAAAACTGAAAAGGTGAAGATTAGTAAAGTAAAAACTGATTTTTTTTGTACAAAAGTCGAGAAGTTGAAACGGAGGGGCAGAAAAGGTAGGGTTTAAACAAACAGGGAAAAAGAAAAAATAAAATAAAAAATCGAAAAGATAGGTTGCCGGAAGAAGGGTCGCCGAAGGGAGGTTCGCCGGAGAGAGGGTTGTTGGAGGGTGGGTTGCCGAAGGATGGCTCTTCTCCTTTGCCTTTCTCTCGCAGCAATTAGGGTAGGGCTTTCTTATTTTTATTTTTCAGCAGATCCAAATGCAGATCAGGGCCAATTTTGGCAAAATTAGGCCGGCCCAATTAATTTTCCTTTCTTTTTCTGGGCAGAAACGGCAATTTCACGCCATCACCGCCTCGCCGCCATGGCTGCTATGCTCATGGCGGCCGCAATGGCGCCGCCATTGAAAACCCGCCACAAGGCGGCCATAACATAGCGGCCAGGCTAAAATCCGCCACGCCATACGCCATGGCGCCGCCATGGCCGCTATTTAATAACACTGGGTTTAAAGTTGTCAAACTCTGGAAACATACAAATGCATGGTGGTTTGTAGCTACGAAGGAAGAAAAGAGGCACGAAGGGTCATAGCCTCATGGGAGAGATATAGATATGAAATTACCTTCATTGGTGCATATTGCATCTGCTGAATAGCTTAAGAATGTAATAAACTTGGGAATTTCGTATCCATCTAATGGAATTCTTTAGTGGTTATATATTATGTACTTAGGCTTGACGGAATTAAGACATAGGGTCATGCATTTTTTCCCAGTGATAATGAATGTTTCTTGCTCATCCTTTCTCATGTTAACATTGGGCGTGAAATATTTACTTTTTTTTTTCTTCTCTTGTTCTAAGCTATTCATTCTTGTATTTGTGTTATGGAAGCACAAAATTGATATCTCGAGTTTGAGTTTCCACCTCTTTTAATGATAAGATGAGCGTATGTTAATACCCTTTTTGATATTATAATAGTTTCTATCTTAATTTTGATGATAGAAGGGTAAATATGGCAAACAAAATTCCCTTCTGGGAATCTGGTAACGGGTTGTAGAACTGTGTCTTAGACTTTTAGTGTCAGGGATTTCCAGATCATCTCGTTCATGATACTCATTGTTGTTTGAGAATTTACTTTTCTAAATAAAATGTGCCAATTAATTGGTGGAAACACTTCAACAAGCCTATGTGCCATCTAGTGGAAGCACAAGAAAATGTTTACATATCATGTCTCATGTCTTCCTTAACCACAGCGTAGATTATTTACCATTTGCCAAGTGGTCGATAAAAACACTCTGGTTGGTTATTTACCATGTATTAAGAAGATGGATATGAGGAAATGAAGAGACTTATTTAAATGCCAAGTGGAATCGTTTTTGCATTTATAAATTCGAAACATTACTGAGCGACAAATAATAGCTTCTTTGATCTAGTATGTGCATACGACAATTAATTTATGGAACAATCTTTGAATGTCTTGCATGTAACTCATTGTTCTACCAACTTACTAAAAAATCTCATGGGTTTAATGTTAATAATCTCAAATAGATTCTAATAAGCTTGACAGTTGATGCACAAAACTAAAGCTCTGTTTTGTGAGAGCTTGACATGACTATTAGTTGAAAATGTTTTCTCTGTGTAGCGTATGATTTATAATCTTATTTATGTTGTGATGGATATGACAAGACATAATCTTCTTATATACCTCCCTCACCTCAACTCAATAATGAAAAACAGTATAGCATTGCTAAGAGCTTGGGTTCAATAGTATACTTTCTGTTGTTTTTATTATGTATATTCTTGGTTACTCCAAATTTATGCAGTCTCATTTTTAGTTCTGGAATGAGATTACTCCCTCAAATTATTGAGCTTCCTAACCTCTCTTCCCAATTGTTTTAGAAGAAGAAAAAGTATATGGGTATGCATCTCCAAAATGTGAGGGTGATACAATTAATTCTCAATTAAGTGAAGAGCTCAGTGAAGGACATTCTCTTCAAGTAGATTCAATTGTTCAAAGTTCTTCAGGTAGAACTTCTCCTAGTCGACTTGATGCTACTACTAATCTAACAACATCAAGTTCATATACGATTGTCCATAATGCCAATGGTTCTGTTGGACAAAGCAACCAGGTCCTTTTGACGGACTTACAATGTGCTGTTTGCAAAGAACTATTATGTCATCCCGTCGTTCTCAATTGTGGCCATGGTATGATGACACCACATGCACTAATGAAGAGTATATCATTTCTACTTAGTTGTTGATTGTTTTTTTTTCCTAACAGTTTATTGTGAGGCTTGCATTGATCCACACGGCAGTATCTGCAAATGTCCAGTTTGTGAAAGTGCACATCCGAATGGGATCCCGAGAGTGTGCCTAATTCTTGAGCACTTCCTGGAGGAACATTTTCCTAAAGAGTATTTGGCTAGAAAAGAATATTCGCGTAACTTTCAGAGTGCTAGTCCTTCAGGAGGTGTGTGCAATTTCAATATCTTGTGTGTTCATATTGTGAATAAAACATGATTCTAAGTCTTGGTGAATTTGATTTAGTGTCTATTGAAGAAGCTTTTAAAATTATATACTTGTTCAAGATAAACAATAAACACAACCAAAATAGTGACAACTTATCAGCAACTCGACAATTTGCATTAGCTGAAGTTGTCACGACCTTAATATGAGTACAACTTATCATAAACTAAAGTAAATACATTAGCTGAAGTTGTCTCATCCTTTAGTATAGTTGTCAGCTACATTCATGCAAAAACAGTGGCTGTCTAGAGTTATTTTTCTCTTATGCTAGTTATCTCGTCTAAGATGACTACATCTGCTTTTGCGATTGGCAGTCCCGAGAATCAGGTGTTATTTGCCACTAAATATGTTAAACAATTCGTTAAACTCAAGAGTTTATAAAAGCACTGAATAAAACAACCTTTCTCAACATGGAGTATGATAGAGATGCCAAAAATAAGGTTGAAAAACAATGGACCCTTTACTCAAGGAAAGGGAAAGCTGGAAAGGAATAAATAAGATATGAGAATAAAATCAGTAATGCAATATGGGAGGCATGAATAAGGGGATTTAGATTGATTCCTGGAGAGAATGGAAAGCTATCAATTAGTTATCT